GAGCCCGCGGGCCGGTTGTCCGTTGGAGGAATCAGCCGAGGCGTCGGGCCGTTGGCTCGCTTATGAAGGGCCACCGCTAAGAGGCAGCTAGCTCTTCGGGGCCTGCAGGGAGCTCCCGGGGTCTCCCCGGCAAAGGCAGGCGAGGGCAAGGGGCGCCCTCGTCACGCAGCGGGCGGCGGCGGTTCCCCGCTGGGGTGGGTCACCCCACTGGCAGCAGAATTGGCCGCGAGGGCCGTGCTTCCTAAGGCGCTGTCGCTGGCGGAGACGGGCAAATCCGCGGGACGGCGGGGCTCCCCTTGCGAGACTCTCCTCTCCTCCTCACGCGCCAGCGCCTTTGCGCACCGATTCGGCCGAGGTGAACCTGCCCCCAGGCCGACACCCAGGGCGAGAAGCAGGATCAAGAAACGCAATCCGGGCAGCACAGCAGGAAAGATGGTGAATCTGGCCAACAACACAGCCACGTGTGCCACCCATCCAGCAAGGGGCTCCAGCTATCCGAATGTCAGGGGGGTCCTCCTTCCAGAGGGCAGGCGCTGCAGCAGGGAGGGCACACTTACTGGGTCGCATAGATGATGCTGGCTAATCCAAGGAACCCAGCAAGTGCCAATCCCGCCAAATCGGACCCGCCAGGTGGATACTATGGGAGGCAGGCAATCCCTCAAGTAACCAGGCACCGTGCGATGCAGGGCTTTACAGCCAGCCCCTGGAAGCACACCCAGAAGCAATCTGGCCACCTGTGTAGTTCCAAAGCAAAAGTGCCCGTTATTGGCCACCCTGCTGCATTCTAGACCAGGTGAAGCGTCCCAGTGGTCTTCGAGGGCAGCTCTGTGAAGCCCACTCCACCCGTGTCACTCCTGTTCACTGTCCTTGGGTGTCTAGGGCAGGACTCAAGTTGCAGGTTAAGAGGAGTTGAATCTAGCTCAGGTCAGTTGAATCTAGCTCAGGTTCAGCTGGTGTTGTGGGGGCTCCCTGATTCATCGCTTAAGCTTAATTAAAGTATTCCATTTTAAGCCACCCATCAACCTCAATGACTCCAGTTAATGTAATTATTCCTCATGTACTCAATCATTTTCTTCTGTTGTGAATAATCTTGAATGAATAAGTGAATGATCTGATTTTACTGCTTTACAATGACTCTCTTTGAGTGTACCCCAGAGGAAGAAATTGCAATTGTGGAAGTAAATCAGGATGGACCTGAATTGTTTAATAACAACAATGCATGCCATGTATACTATAATAATAATTTATTAAAATTGTATGCTGCCCTATTCAATGAATCTGGGTGGCTCACAACCAAGTCATTACAATAACAATAAAAGATAAAAGCTGGCAAGTGCAATGAAGCAAGGGGTCTCACTCTCCCTCACCAAAGGCTGTGAAAAAAAACCCTGGGAGACCAGAGGAAGAGCCACAGCCTAGAGGAGGGTCTGATAAACGAAACCTGAGTCCAGAGAAGGGGTGGGCGGTGGAGAAAGCGGCTCAGAAGGGACCCTCTGCAGGAGGGAGGGAGTGCTTTCAGACTTGCAAGGTTCTGTTACTGTAACCTTACAATAAAAGTAGTAGTACTGCTATGCAATTACCAATTATAGTAACCGGGACTGGAATTTCTGTTGCTAAGTGATGTGGTTGTAAAGTGTGATGTCCTCATTCCATCATTAGGCGAGGGTAGTGGGTTGATCAGCGAGTCCCAGGTGGCTTGCAAGCAGGCTGACAGGCCGGTAAGTGACAGAGGACAGTGTGTGGGTGGCCAGTGTGGCACAAGTGCGGCTGGGCCAGGGATGACTGCTGCCTTGTGAGGGAGGGTGCGAGCTACTTACTGGAGTGACTTGTGACCCTCCCTGCAGGCTTCTCCATCTATTGTTCTTGTGGGAAGCCTGCAGGGAAGGTTGCAAATGGTGGCCGCGGGAGGCTGCCAATGTCATGTGAGCCAATTGCCAAGCGCCCAGATTGGGATCACGTGACCTTGGGGGTGCTGGGACGGCTTGAACCGGTCGTAAGTACCACTTGTTCGCTGCAGTTGCAACTTCGAACGGTTGCTGAACAAATGGTCATTAAAAAAGACTACCTGTACCTATGGTTTTGGTTTCCTGTCTGGAGTACCTTGAAGGGCTGACAGTGTGAGCAAAGAGCCAGATCTTCATGGCTCTTCTAAACAGCAGCAGAGCGGAGGCCATCCAAAGCTCTGGGGGAACCAGAGGGCAGGTGCTGCTATGGAGAAGGCGCACTTGTGGGGTCTGCTGGGACCTGGAGCACACCAACCCTGCAGGACTGAATTGACCAGGCAGATGCTAATGGGAGACTGGTGGACCCTCCGGCAACTGGACCCTACGCCATGGAGGGCTTTATAGCAGCAACCGGCCCCTTGCATCGCACCTGGAAGCGCACCGACAGCCGGTGTGGCTGGCAAAGCAGAGGTGTTACGTGTGCATCCCGAGGCACGCCCATCACTACCTGCACCACCGCGTTCTGGGCCAGCTGAAGCCTCAGGGCGGTCTCCGAGGGCAGCCCCACGTAGAGCACGTTGCAGTCGTCAAGCCGTGAGGTGCCCAGGGCGCGAGCGACTGTCTGCAGCCCCAGAAGAACCTGGGCAGAGGTCTTCTGGGCCGCGGCCGCTCACCGAGACCCCCAGATCGCGCGCCCCTCGTAGGGGCAGCGCCGCCCGTCCCAGGCCGAGGAAGCCCTCCTGCAACAGCAGTTCTGCGGCGCTACGCGGACGGCCCGCAGCCCCAGCTCAGCAGCCTCCGGAGCAGAAGAGGCCCCGCGCAACCCACCGGCCGGCGGGC